GTGAGTTGGGGTGAGGGGCTCTTGTGTTGCCCCCCAACAGCTCCATCACCTTCAGACTCAGGTTGAGGGCCGGGGGGGATATTCCCTGGGCCCACGCTGCATCCCAGGAAGGCCCGCGGTGCATGGTGGCCAGGCAGGCCCGCCCCCATCACGGAGGCCATGCACTCCTGGCTTCTCATTTCTTGGGTACCGGCTTCCTCACTTTGGGGGTGTATCTGGCCTACGGAGGGAGGGCGGGGCTCCAGGTCCTGGCACCTTACCAGAGACCACCACATCCCCAGGAGGACCAGCCCCTCTCATGCACTCACCTTGTTCACCGGGCTCTTGCCTTTGAGACTGGGTCTGAAATAGGGGTGGGGGGTGAGGAGCAGGAGGTGGGCGAGAGGGAGAGAGAGCTTAGCCTGGTGCCGCAGCCCGGCCCTCCCAGTGCCCACACTGCAGAGCAGGAAGCAGGGCTGTGCCCTGGAGTTCTCCTCTCCACCTGTCACCCACCAGGGGCCGCTCTGATCCCCCCCCACACTTTTTTTTTTTTTAACAAAGATGCTTTTTCTTAGGCTTCCATCTGCTCTCTTTCTTTTACTTTTACCACAAACATGTCCCTTTCATTATAAAAGTAATGGTAACCATATTGCACAAAATAGCAAATAAAGAACAGAATAAACTACTTATGTTGTTTACCTCCCACCAACATTAACATTTCGGTCTATTTCCTCTCGGGGTTTTTTTTCTTCTTCCTCCTAAACATACTAGTATGTGAAATAAAATGAAAGCGACTTAATATCCTGCCCTTGTTAATTCTATCAACACGTCCCAGGCCGCTATCTTCTTCACAGGCACGTGCAGCAGCCACTGGGAAAAGGCTCCGCAGGGGGATCGCTCTGCTCCCACTCGTGGTTCAGTCACCAGCGAGGGGTTTCTCAGCGCACATATTGCTCCCCTCATTCTGGACGGAGTCCTCGGAAAGGGATTGCCACAAGGGGAATGAGGTCAGATTATAAGCACGGTTTCATGCATCTCAAAAAGGTTGTGCCAACCTACTGCGGCAAGACGCCGTGTGCCCTCGTACTTATACACACGCACGCGCGTGCGCACACTAGGCACCAGTGCCCTTTCTAGCACTGTATACTTCGCCCAAAGAGTTCGGCCAAGTTAAGAGATGGAAAGAATTACCTTGCCGCCTCTTCTTTTTCCACTTTTTTTTTCTGGGAACCAAACACAAGCGTCATTGGGTGGTTAGGGTGAGGGCCTGAGCAGACCCCGCTGGGCCCCACCTCCTGCACACTCAGCCCAGGGGCCTGGCCAGGGTCCCTTCCCTCACCTTGGCCACGCTCGTCTGCTTCTGGGACGCCAGCCTCTTGCCTTTTTTGACAGGGGTCTCCTCTAGGGACACCTCTTCATCATCATCATCGTCATCATCGTCATCATCATCTTCCTCTGACTGCTCCTCCTCCTCCTCTTCCTCCCAGGAGAGTTCTGGAATTTCTGCACAGGGGAGAGGAGAGGTGCCTGGGAGAGTCCCTGCAGGAGTGCAAGTGTCTGCCTGCCTCCCTGGGAAGCCCTCCAGGCCTCCCTGACAGAGTGGAGGCCAGGAGGTGGGGGGAAGTGGCCTTGACAGCTCAGAGGGCCTGGCCCAGTGTGGTAGAAGGAGGCGGGGAAGGGTAAGCTGGGCTTTGCCTGGGGCGAGG